CTGACAGCTAGAGACAGCAACAACCACGATGACCAAGAGACGACCAGCTGCAGCACGTCAACGACAACGACAATCCATGATAATCGGGAGCTGCTGCCACCCCACATCCGTTTCGAGCGTTTCTGTTTTGATCTGACTTGGGAAAGCCTCAGGTAATTCAGGCAAACATGCTGTTAACATGTTGTTGACATGTCTGCAGCACCCCATCTCTTGTGCTTTCGTTGGCCTTTGTGGAACTGTTCTCCCGACGTTGCTGCCAAGATCAAAACGGAGGCATGAGGAGACCCAACAAAACCGAAGGGACGCAACGATGGACAGCCGAATTGCAGGGACAAAACAGAGTTGCCAGCATCGCGAAGCCCGAAGGACCGCGCGCAAGTTCTGTCTGTCTTTGGTGCTGGCTGCCATGCTGTGCCGCTGCACAAGCTGCTGCAAGCTGTTTACGGCGAAGATGAGACGGCCGATTGCACTTGCTTCTTTTCAAGGCGTTGACAAGGTGCTAAACCATTTTACCCCGGGTTTGCATGCTCAGTCCTACGAGAAGTCCAGCAAGCAGCTCCATTTTGTCGTCCGAATGTTCTGAAACTGATAACGATCACTGCTTCCCTAAGGTCGGTTCAGACGCAGCTGGTGTGCTGAAGCAGATGGAGCTCAAGCCCGAGATCGGCTTGGGAACGTGTGCTTCCGGCTGTTCTAGCGCCTCTTTGCTCCTTTGTTCAGGTTCGTGCAGGAGAGGCAGAAGCCAGTACAAATTCCTTTGTTGGCCTTGCCAGGCCGATTGCACGCGACAGCAAACCAGGACAGGGGAATATGTATATCATGCGCGCACAGGTGTCAACAATGAGGACATCAGGATCCACAAATCCCGGTCTGCTCCTGAGGAACCTGCATCGTGTGGCGAGGGTCAAGCCAAGAACCCCAAAAGAGTTCATATGAAGATGGAAGCTGAATGCAGAGTTTGATGTAAAAAATCTCTGGCTAGGGAGTTTTTCCACGTGCGTGCGTGCGTGCGTGCGTGCGTGCGTGCGTGCGTGCGTGCGTGCGTGCGTGCGTGCGGGTGTGTGTGTGTGTGTGTGTGTGTGTGTGTGTGTGTGTGTGTGTGTGTGTGTGTGTGTGTGTGTGTGTGTGTGTGTGTGTGTGTGTGTGTGTGTGTGTGTGTGTGTGTGTGTGTGTGTGTGTGTGTGTGTGTGTGTGTGGTTGTGTGTGTGTGTGTGTGTGTGTGGGTGTGTGTGTGTGTGTGTGTGTGTGTGTGTGTGTGTGTGTGTGTGTGTGTGTGTGTGTGTGTGTGTGTGTGTGTGTGTGTGTGTGTGTGTGTGTGTGTGTGTGTGTGTGTGTGTGCGTGCGCGTGCGCGAGGGCGTGCGCCATGCATGTGCGTGCGTGCGTGCGTGCGTGCTTGCGTGCGTGCGTGCGTGCGTGGGTGGGTGGGTGGGTGGGTGGGTGTGGGTGGGTGGGTGTGGGTGTGTGTGAGTGTGCGCGCGCACCTGAACATAGGGAGTCAAGCCCCATTGTCCAACTTGCTTGACTTTTTTCGCATGACAACTTCACAGTTTGCCCGGGGTGCTGCAGCCTTCAAGTCTTCAAGCAAGTCTTGTCCAACGGATGTGCAATCTGATAAACCGCATGTACCCTGAGCCAGCAGATTAGAAAGACGCCAGGCCCTAGCTCGCAAGATTAACCACAGCAGGGTTCTGTCTGCCTTCGCACGCAAGCATACATGCACAGTTGCAGAAACCTGCTCGCAACGCAGACATGTTTGCTGCTTTGCAGTTGACATCCGTGGTTCAACAAGCGTCAAGCCACGGATTGTTCAACCAGCATGTTGGGTTGTGTTTGCGTTTGTTATGTGCAATATGTCTCTGTAGAATGTATGTATTTATGTGTATATGATATGTATACACAATTATACACATGTACACATGCATGCACGCATGCTTGCAAGCATGCAGGCACGCACGCATGTAAACCGTATGTATTTATGCATGTTCTTGTGCGTGCAAGTGTGTGCAAGCAAGTTCGTATGTATGTATGTATGTGTGTATATACATGTGTGTCGAGTTTGTTTCGAGTTAGTATTATACATGCATGCGTGTGTGTGTATACATATTACACATATATATATATATATATATATATATATTATATTTATTTGTTTTGATTATTATGTGTATATACACATACAGATCTCATGTATTGTGGGGGTGTGGGTGGATGGCTGTGCAGGAGGGTGTGGATGACGAGGCGGTGGTGGTTTTGCTGGCAGTAGTGCTGGTGGCACACGGCTCTCTGCGTGGGAGTGTGCGCATTCGTGTTGTGCGCGAATCTGCATGTCGGGCGTCTTGGGCTTTGTTTCCTTCCATTGGTCAGTGTCCATTGTGGCTTGGGTGCCTTTGTTTGTTGCCAATGAGGAGCCAGACGATCCTCCCCAAAGCACATCCTGCCCTTCGCAAATCCAAGCGAAATCTGGCGATGCGTCCCGGATGCACGAGGCAAACCGCCTAGAAGAGATGTTGTTTTGCACCAGACATTGACAAAACATTGAGGTACTGCGACGATCTTACCCTCATGCTGCTCAAACAGCGTCATCAGCTTATCCGACAGAGCGAGCGCACCAGCTGGACTCGCAAACTAGCAGAAGCTTTCCTGAATGGTTCTTGGCCAATGCAGGAGCAACGAGTCTGGTTTTGCTGTTATCAGCTTACTTGATCTCACATGAGATAACTTTAAGGTCGTTCTGGACGCAAGCCGACCAAGCTTTACAAGCCAAGCGCCGTGCAATTGCCGCCTGTGTCGGATCCTCGAAGGGGCCGCAAGGGAACATGGGTGTGTGTGTGTGTGTCAGCAAAAATCCGAGCTCCGAGCATTCCAAGAGCTGAGGCACAACAAGCAGGCCTGCTCTGATTTCTCTTGCAAAGCTTTCCGTGTTGTTCAAGACGGACAGACTCAGTCACCGAGCGGGGGCTTGTTGCTGATGCAAGTCTAGATACTAGATGCTGGAGTAGCCCCTCGCTGCACGAAATCAAGTGAAGAGACGTTGCAGTCCGCCAGGCACTGCGCATGTCTCAGAGCATGGAGCTTGCCGAGGAAATCTCCAGCATTGCTTTCAGCAGCACGAGAACGGGCACTGTTCGAGTCTGTTGCCTGTTTCCTGCAGCAGCAACAACAACCAGCTGCAGGAGAGCATCGTGCACGCGCACTTCCACTACCACTACCACCTTCCTGGTCTTCAGGCGGCTTGTACAGCTGTAGTCGCTATGAGAGAACATACGCGATGGAAGGCTGGGCAGATGCAGCAGATGACATGAAGAGGGTATTTGTCGAGGATTTCCGAAAGCCAGTGGGCTTGACAGGTGCTTGTACTTTTAAAAAAAGCAAGCGAAAGGGGGACACCCCATCTCTGCCACGGCCTCCCTCAAAGGGAATTTTGAGCAGGGATCTTGAACAGCATGTGAGGCCAGGCTGGCGCTTTTCCCAGTCCTGGCATGTCACAGAGGGTCTATACCCATATGCGAGGGCCGCTTTTCCGCATCAGAAAACTGATTGCCAGTCTTCGGCACCGCCGCATCTAACATTGCAGGGTCTTTCGCAGCCAAAGCTGCCAGTCTTAAAGTCGGAGATGAAAAGGATGCCCTGGCTTCCTGCGTGTGACGAACAGCTTGTGGGTCTCCTGTGAGCAAATTGACCAAACGCTGGACCGCCCAATCTGTGGGAGGATCCGCAGCGCTATGCGCAGGTCTCGCATCGAACACCGCGGTCCTGCGCACAACTCTTTGCACCCGTCGCCACAACTGCCAGTGACATGGCATGCAGAGTGCCTGCAGTAGCCGAAAAACATATGGGTGACGGGCATATCACATCTCGAAGATCTCTGAGGTGATTTTGAACAAACACCTGCAAAGTTGGCAACCGTTAGATGAAGAGGAGTTGAGTCGCTTCGATGCACATGTCGGAACCTGAGCTTACCAGCGTCGGCTTCGGAACGAAGGCTTCGCCTCTCAGGTCAGGATTGACGTTAGCTTTGGGGCTGTGGATAAAGCCATGCAGGCCAATGCAGACGACGTTCATAGCGCGGAATGCCATGAGTGCTGGTTCCGTCGTGTCGTAGGTTATCACAGCACTGCGTCGGCTTGGTTGGTGTCCACGGCTGCGATCACTTGCCAGCGCAAGCCCGGCAGCCGATGAGGCCGAAACGCCGACCGTTGCATACATGGCAAGCTCGAACTTTTAATTTCGACTATTTTCGATTGTTCTGTCCCATCCAGAAGTCAGGTTGGGTTCGAGGACCAAATTCATAGACGTCGGCTAGTATCAGCAACTTCACAAGCTTCCTGCCATGCTCAGGTAAGGCGTACTGCCTGTATGTCAGAACCAGCGACAGCTACCTATACCTCACATTATATCCCTTGCTTGACCATATGCTTCGCCAGTGGGTGGCTTTCCCGCGACTGGGCCTGCAAACTTACTATTGGTCAGCCCGGCATGTGCAAACCCTTTGTGACACAGCGGGTTGCCCGGGTGCTGTGCAAAAGCGACCTTGCTGTGGCAGAGCGCCAGGAATCGTCGAACCGGAGAGCGGATGCCTCGGACATGCCTGTTCACTACGTTCAGCATCACGCAGCATGCCCCTGCGAGAGCGGAAGAGGTCTGTGTGGCAAGTTCCTGAGGCTTTGTCAATGCTTGTCATAGTTCGCACTCGCTTGCGCATGCGCGCAGCGGCGCTGGCGGGTCCGGGTGGGAAGGCCGTGGAGCCGGCTTGGACTGGATATCGGGACGGAGACCACGCCTTCTTCAGGCTGCTTTGCACATCTTCGCACCTTGAGTCAGAAGATGGAAACCGCGAGCTACAGGCATTGGCTTGAGATGCCAGAAACTTTGTCAGAGCCCATCGCATACGAGTTTTCAACAGGCTGAAGACTGGGCATACCTTGCAGCTCATACTGTAGGACACATCTGGAGAGGTCCAGGCCTGTTCTCAAAGTTAGAACAGTCCGCGTAGCCTGCAATGTGGCTGCACCGCTTCGCTTCGTCTCGATGTGCTCGAGGCAGCGGGGTCGTCTTCTGGCTCTGCCGTGTTTGTTCTGCTCTTGAGCATGGGAGCAAACTGACAGGCCACGCTTGGACAGGATGCAGAATCTACAACAAGATGCACCCTCCGCAAGGAATGAAGCACTTGGTACTGGCAAGGTTCAGTGCTAGTCCAAGCCAGCCCGCAAGTGATGCCGCTTGTGGGCAAGCAGCCGCCAAAGCATCGTTGTCGGCTAGTGTCAGCTCGCTTTGTTCAAGGGTATTTGCGGTGTTGGTGGGTTCACATGGCATAAGGACAAGGAGAGAACTACTGCATCGTTGCCTCAGCTCTGGCAGATTCTTCGCCCTGAGCGGGGGCGGCTCCAGCAACTTGGATCAGTCATGCCAGCATAGACCCCCAAGTACTGAAAGAGCACCCACCAGCAGGAGACCAACCCAAGAGGCCTTCCAGGAACAAGACCAGAGCGCGAGTTGAACTCCAGAGTTCGTACGGCACTGCGGTCACTTGGTGAGGTGGAAGCGCGCGGAATCCTGGCGAAAACACAGTTGAGGAAGGCGACAGCGCGAGATAGCGAGAGTCGAACCCAAACTAGGCGCCGTATTGTGGTGAGAAGACGACCGACTCGCACCGCAAAGCACGTGCGACACTGGACACTGGCGCGACTTGTGACTTTCGAGAGGTTTGAAGGATACGATTTCCAGTTCATAACCTCAGTGTTGATTCAACAAGCAGGAATCAGCGTCTGCGACGGACGAGGCCAGCACGGAATGCAGGCAAGAGCCCGATTGTAGTCGAACATGTGCATCATCGAACGATTCATCCTTGGAGCGGAGACGTGGTGCGATGGCTCGAATGAAACGGTGCGGTGTGCGGTGTCAATAGAGGTTTGCTTATCCACACAGGCTCAGCTGCTTCTCAGCTTCTTCGCAGCTCTCAGGTTGGCACTTGCGGCGTTGTGCGCATCATCTTCCGTCAACTTGTCTGGGCCCTCGGTGCCGACAAAAACCTTATTCTCGCTTCACTGCAGCAGCCTTGCAGCTGGCGCTTTGAATGCCCAGTGCCAAGGTCGTACCCCTACATGGTGGGCAAGCTGGTAGACCTGTTCGGGCAAGGTGCAGACGGTCTTCAGTTTGTTATGGATCACACTTGGCTCTGTGCCGGAGTCATGGTGGCAGGCGGTTTTGCAACATTTTGCAGGCTGTATCTGATTGAGACGGCCATTGAAAGAATAGCGTTCCGCCTGCGGCGCGAATTCTTTTGGGCACTGATTCAACGGCCGATCGCCTTCTTCGACGGGAACAAAACGGGTGAACTCGTAAACCGTTTGGGCAACGACATCACCATGACCAGCCGTGTCCTCATCGACGCCTCCGCCGGGATCCGAAGCTGCATCACCGCCTGTGTCGGCACCTGTGCCTTGGACAAAGACAGAACTACTGCACTACTACTGTATCCGACTAGTGAGTCAGTAGGAGTCTTAAAAAGTTTGCATAGAAGGCATGGTATTCCAGCTGGCGCCCACAGAAATGATTCTCGGTCTCCTTACGCCTGTCGCTACCTTGTTCGTCGTCGGATTTGGATATGGGCGCGTTGTCCGCCGTATTGCCGAGAAGCGTCAGCAGAGATTGGCAGAGGCAGTTCAGCGTGCGGAGGAAAGACTGGGTGGAATTCGGACAGTGAGGACATTTAATGCTGAGAAACGAGAGCTGGCTGGCTTTGAAAGACTGCTTGATTCTGTGTATGAAGCAGGCTGGCAGAACGCTTTGGCAATGGGTGGCTTGTCCTGCTTCTTCGTGACAGGAGGCGGCTTGTTCCTGATACACATAATTTACAACTGCGGGTTGATGGTGACGAGTGGGGTTGTCAGTATTGGGACGACCGTGAGCCTTGGCATGTACTGCTTCATGGCCGGCTCCGCGTACACTGGGATCATGACCTCATATGGAGATATACAGAAATGCCTTGGGTCTTGTCAGAAGGTCTTGGAAATCTTGTCTCAAAGCTCCGTGCAGCCAATGTTGACAGACAGCATAGTTTCTGCTGTCTCCCCAGCGCACCCACCCTTGGCCGTGAAGTTTGAAAGTGTTAGTTTCTCTTATCCGACTAGGCCGACTCCGGTTCTTCAAAACTTGAGCCTGGACATTCCTGCTGGTGCACGTGTGGCCTTGCTTGGGCGAAGTGGTTCCGGAAAGTCTACAGTCGCTTTGCTTCTGGCAGGCCTCTATCCACCCAGCCAAGGGAAAATCTTCGTAGACGATCGCGATATGTATGCTGACGACAGTACACCTTCCTGGGTGCGTTCACAGCTGGGTGTAATTAGCCAAGAGCCAACACTTTTTGCTTTGACCATCCGCGAAAATGTTGAATATGGCGTGGACGGAGAGAACTTCCAGACCGAGGAGGCCTCGGAGGAGAATTCGAGGCTGGTGGGGCAGGGATGGGCAGGGTAGAGGTCGCTGTCCGACTGATGTTTAGGCTTATTGCACCAAGCAGCGGCCGCTACCGCCGGTGGGTGGCATTGCTGTCGACGCGCAGGGCTGTTTTCAATTCTCATTTCCTCGAGAAAGCAGCAGTCACCCACACAGTCAGGTGCAGGTGCTGCTCGCGGAAGTAAGGCCACAATGGACACATTCACAGTAAATGCCGTGCATGTCACAGCTCGGCAGATCGCTAGCTTTCTATTCCTGTCAATAACATCATGGAGAGCGACATGCTCTTCGACACCTGCACCAACAAGCAGACCCGGTTGAGAATGTGATTTCTCTCGCCCTCACTGGGCGACTGTTGGCTGTTGGGCCAGCAAGGTCAGCCACCCTTGCCGGCGGGATCATGAAGGACATGCGGTGAAGGAGTTGTAGGTCGTCATAAGACAGAGTTCTAGCCCAGTTGTCTCTCAACTTTAGCAGCTGACTCCCAGGGGTCCCCCCGTTTTGCGACTTGCCATCTCTGTGTGCAGAACGATGCAGCACAAACTCGAAAGACAGGTGCTTCAATTGGTTCAGTTGGAACTGTTGTAGGCTCTGTTAGAGTGGCTGCACGTGCTGCACAATGTTTGGGAATTTGGGTCCGTGCCGCTAGGTTGATCCTGGAAGCCACATCAGCCGCCCATGTGAATGAATTCGCAGAGCATCTTCCACTTGGCTTGGACACCCCTGCTGGAGAGCGAGGTCAAGCGTTGAGCGGGGGTCAGAAGCAGCGGGTTTGCATCGCCCGTGCACTGGCGCGCAAGCCGAGAATGTTGGTCTTCGACGAGGCAACATCAGCTTTGGACCTCCGCTCCGAGCGTCTGGTGCACAAAGCCCTGAAAGAAGTTCTATCTGCGGGAGACTGCACCTGCCTGGTCATCACGCACCGGAAGCTTGACAGCGCTTTGGAGTTGTTTTGGCACTCCCTGAGAGTCTTTTTGCATGTCGGACGGGTGTGGCAGTCATGCAGACCGCGCAGGATGAGTGCCCTCGAGTGGTGTGATCGCGTGGCCGTGGTGAGCCGCCATGAACAGCCAGTTAGCTTAGGATTTCTTTCGTAGGCTTACCGCAGGGCTAGGGGTTTGAGGGAAGCAGGAGAAGAGTCTCTGGGAGGCCGGAGTCTGAGCCCGCCAGGTGCACGAAGGAAGTGTTGTTCAATACGGAGCCTCAGCTGAGTGAGGGGTGTGCCGTGCCCTTGCAACTGGATACAAGTTCTTCATCTCAGCGGTGGCCAAGGTGAGAAGAATGAAGTGCTGAACAATCCGTGTGCTGCCTTGCAGAGCATTCTGAGAAATGATGACCATCTTCATGTCCAAGAGACCTGAATATCGACTGCTTCGATGTGGAGCACCTGTTATGATTTTTATGTTTATGGCACGGTGTTGAAGTCAGAACTGCCATTCACACTTGCAGTTGGGTCTCTCAATGTCCACTATCACAGCCGCTCCCGAAGCTCGTTGAACTCTCATGCTGCACTAGAGGCACTGAAGTCCAAGCAGAGCTGCTGACATTCAGCAGTGGCTTTCAATGCGGCTAGTGTTGTGGGCCTGTAGGGAAGAGGCTTCTGCCGAGTTCGAGCTGTGACGGCAAAGAGAATGGCGAAAGCATCCATTGATTTTCACGCTGAGCGTCACCCCTCTCAAAGCATGAAAAGTCTCTGCATCTTGTTCCTGCAGTCCGGTGGCGTGTGATGGGACGAGATCCTAACGTAGCATTGCTCCTGTGTTGTTCTTCTTGCGCTTGTCCTACTCGAAGAATCTTGAAGGTGCGCGCACACTTCGGAGACTTTGTGGCAGCTTCCTCCTTTGGTGCAGCGCCACAGTGTGATCTCGCTTGTGATTTCCGAAACAGATTCTTGTAGCATGCGCGAATCAGGCCAGGGCTTCCTCTGCACCTGCGCCCTCAGCCGCCTCAGCCTCGCAATGCAGCGCGGAGGATCAGCTCAAACATCTGCTTGAGGCAGTCTCCTTAAGAGTTGCTGGTCGTTTTGCATGGCCTGAGTGTAACCCTAAGCCAAGCAAAGGCTGAGTGGGCGCGGCTTCAGGGTCGAGAAGAGTCGATCCGGCGGGATGCCCTCTCAACGCCAGAAAAGCCAGATTGCAGGGTCAACAGCCCAGTGGGTTGCGGGTTTGCAAGCTTCCAACTATCGCTGAACACGCTCAAGCCCTTGACCTCTAGCATCCTGCGAATGCCTTCCATCTTGATATTTGATCCCCGAGACTCAGAATTCTGACAAAGTCTGCACTTCCAGTATTGGGCAACAACGCAGCATAGATTCTAGATTCGAGATCACTCGTTGTCATTACAATGTTATGACACATCAAGGTAACATTCCGGCGTATGCTGCCCTTGCACAAGTCACAAGTTCTACATTTACGGCCATGGCGACTCGTCCACTGCAAGTGGCCGTGCGCATCCGGCCTCCGCAACCACACGATGGGAAAGCTGGAGCACCTGCAGCTGAGGCATTAGACGGATTGACTCTGCAAGCCAAGGAAGGCTCCGACTCGAAGCAGTTTGCATTCGACAAGGTATTTGGACCCGCTGCTTGCCCAAATTGTTGGCTGCTGTGATCCTCTGGAGCATACGGGGACTTGGTTTGCAACCGAGGAGGCCACTCAGCATGAGGTGCAGGGCTTAGTGCTGGAGCTTGGCTCGAGCGTTTGCAAATCAACCTCTCCTTGCTTGAGTTGCTGCATTCTAAATGGCCCAGATAGACAAGCCTGCAACGCAACGTGAGGTGTACTCGTTTTGTGCCCTGCCGCTTGTGGATGCTGTGATCAACGGGACGAACGCTTGCATTTTTGCATTTGGGTGCACTGGAGCGGGCAAGACGCATTCCATGCTTGGGCCCGAGGGTGGACGCAAGCAAGCAAAGCAGGATGGGATACTTCCACGGGCGGCAGCTGAGCTTTTCAGGCGCATTGCACGACTTGAGGCAGAAGCCAAAGCTGCAATCGGATCCGGTGGGTTTTCTGCCTATGAAGTGCGGGTGTCCTTTTTGGAAGTCTTTTGCGAGAACGCCTTTGATCTGCTGAGTGGACCTGTGTCTGCCTCCAGAGATGCCTCCGGCTCATGTCAACTGCGGGAGACGACTGATGGGCGCGTTTACGCCGATGGGGCCAAGGAAGAAAAGATTCGGTCCTGTGAGCAGCTACTGGACGTTGTCGCTCAGGGTGCCAAAGCGCGGGCTACGGCAGCAACCGGAGTCCACGCACATTCATCGAGGTCCCATGCCCTGCTTGTCATGTCAGTTGAGCATCGCTGGCGAGACGTTGCAGAAACCGATCCGCAAAAGCACCCATGCCACGTGATGTTAGAATTATTTTAGCAGTTTTTCAGTGCCGGTGTGTAGGGGAATTTCAGGCTCTCTTCCCGCACCTTCGCCGCGCAGGTACCGTTCGCAGACAGCTCGCTTCACTTTGGTGGACCTTGCCGGTGCCGAGTCGATGGAACGTTCCCATGGTGGGAGCGTGGATGCTGCCGGTGTTGGCACTAATATGGGCCTGCTCGTATTGGGTCGAGTCATTCGGGCTCTCGCTGAAGGCTCAGAACGAGTGCCCTACCGAGATTCGACCTTGACACGGCTTATGCAGAGCAGTTTGGGTGGCAAAGCGGAGACCCAGATGCTAGCATGCGTAAGTCCCGCAGAGATCGAAGCTGCGCTCACAATGCAAACCCTGAAGTACGCAACCAGTGCTCGGAGCGTCATTCTGAAGCCGGAAGCTGCCACTGTTACGACAGAGCTTGAAACTGATCCAATGCTAGCAGACGTTGAAGACGATGACATCTCTCTGAACCGGCGTTGTATTTGGATCGAGACTGCTGATTTCGGCGACGTCTTTGCACGCTGCGTTGGAGACCCGACAGACCCTTTGATCCTCTATGTTCACGGGTCGGGGCCGTGCAACAGCTCAAACTTCTGGAGTAAGCTTGTGATCGATGTGGCAACTCTGGCCAGCGCAGGCAAGATCTCTTCGGCTTAGTGGCATGCGCGATGATACACCACTGTAGCATATTGTAGCAGTATCTTAGCCAACATGTACACTCTGCTGGCAAGGCATGGTAGTAGTTGCTGTCTGTATCAAAAGGTTGAGCGCACGCATCGGTGTTTATGTAGAGCGCATGCTAAAGGATGCTGTGCAAATTGGAGCTGGTGATTGCCAGGCACAGGCGAATACCCGAGAAGCTACTTCCATGTCGCCATTGACTGCCCTGGCTACGGACGCTCGCCAGGTGATCGGCAAAGCATTCGATCGTATCCAGGATCCCTCATCTCCAATATTGTTCGAGCACTGGGCCGCAAAACGGTGGCTTGCCTTGTCGGGTCCAGCCAAGGAGCATGTGCTGCTTTGAATTGCGCCTTGGAGTGTCCCAAGCTGATGCATACTGTTGCTGTTTGCCACCCTGTCGGGCACGCTCCACATCGGTACGGAGCCATTTCGCAACCCACCCTTCTGATCTTCGATACGGAGGATGACGGGCACCCCGTGAGTGTTGGACGGCAAATGCGGCGTCACCTCCCAAACCCGCGATACTTCGAGTTTACACGGTCGAAGGATGGAGATTGGGAGTGCCATCACATGGGAGAGGAAATGATTTCTATGCTGCAGGAGAGCTACCAAAGCTGGAAGAACAAAAGGCTTGGCGGGCGCAGAGACAAGGATCTTCCAGACTTGACACGCGTCGCAGGCGGCTTCAACAGCTGGAACAGCATACATGGTGTCGAGTTTGAGCCTTGGGGTGGCTACGATGCCGAGGATGAGTCAGCTGAGGACAAGACAGATATCAGTGAAAACAGCTGGCGAGCCAGGCTTGACCCCAGTACCAACACTATTGTCTACGAGAACCTTCTTTCTGGCAGGATATCCCGCGTGCGTCCGCCTGGTGCGCAAGTCGTGGTAGAACGCCTGGGCGGGTCTTCGGAGAAGAAGGCTGCCACTGAGGCTCCGTGCACGCCTTTGGAAGCCCAGGCTGATAAGGAAGATACACCAGCCAGAGCCGATGTCGGCCGGGCACTACTACCTCTGTTCGAAGGCGCGGACGAAAACGATGATGAAGACGATGAAGAGCGGCAGGCACGTGAAGAGAAAGAAGCAGCAGCGATGCTTGAAATGGAGGCCTCTCAAAGTCATTGTGACCTCTGTCGCAAACTGCTGGTGCAGCCCATCCGCTTACAAGCTTGTCGTTGTGCGCTGTGCGGATGCTGTGCTGAGATTACAGTCCGGTACATGCGAGAGTGCCCAGCATGCGGCTTGCCTGTGGACGTGAAGGGTGGCAAGCCGGTGTCAGATGTGTCAGCAGGCCTTCTGGCCAAAGTGGAGGCACTGACCTCGACGGGAGGCCCTGAGATAGAAGAGCAGCAGCAACTGCTGCAGCAGCTGACGGACCTCCGACAGAGTGCACAGCGAATAGTTCTCCAGTACGGCAATACTTCCAGCGGGCGTGGCAGCAAGCGTTCGTACACTACTTTTCTGAAGGTTGCTTCGGTAGACGGCAGTTGTCCGAAGGAGGGCTGTGTAGCGAAAGTGGATTTCAACATAAATCCTGGTTATAGCAAACCGACATCAACGGCCAAAGAACCGAGCGACAAGTCCCTGGGCTTTACTTTTGAGTATGCCATGGCACGGGCCTACCCATGCCATATGACGGTACACTTCAAGAGCGACCTTGGCTTGCCAAAGCTCGTCATCGAGCACTACGTCAGGGATGAGGCGAAGACAAGTAGACGAGTGCTTCTCCAGCACCCTTGCTTTAATGGAATTATCTCATGCTTTGTTTCTGGGCTTTGGATGGGATGAACCTTTGCGGGCAACGCTTGTCGCTTTGTTCCGTAGCCTTCGTTTTAAAGCTTTGCAGCTTCGAGTTGCTTTACTTTCCATCTCCAAGCTGAACGATTTCTGGCTTGGGGAGGGCTTCTCTTGGTTTGGCGTTTGTTCGTGGCTTCGACTCGATGCCAGAAACGGCAAGTTACGCGCACTGTCTCTGCGCATTGAACAACTACAACCCTTCTGCATCCGAGTAGTTAAATCCCTCAAGTCGGTTTGTGGCAAACATCCAGAAACTGCTGCATAATTGGAAAACTGCCAAACCCTGCGGCCTGATTGAGTCATCTCGTCGTTGAAGGCACTGTGTTGTGACAGTAGGCGGAGTGGTCTCGGACTGCAAATGCCAGCAAGATAGTGTCTTCAGAACAAGCCCTCCTTCTCGATACTTGTAGCAAGCCGAGCACTTGCACGGGGTAAACGCTTCAAGCTTCATCAGCAAGGTTCTCGGACCCTGGCTCAAAAAACACACGGAAAGCCCCCGCGCTTCTTCTTTAGCCCCGCTCCTCAGCACTGGAGGGTTTTGGTATTGTGAGACTTTTTGCATCTATCATCTATCTATCAGCAACACGACCACTTCGATGAGATGCCTGTTCGAGGGGTTGAAATTAGCTTGGCAACTTGAGGCTTCCCCATCCACGTTTGCCTCCAGCGGGTGCTCCAAGAATAACAGAGAAGGAGGTCGTCTTTGATGCCGATGCTTGCCTTTGCATTCGAAGCACAGCATGCATGCGCACAGTCTTGCAGAGCGCATGACATGATATTCGCGAGCAAGAGGACACACTTTGAACTGCACTGTGCAGACGAGCTAGATTAGAGCAAGGGGGCTCTTTGAGCGCGTTGCAAAGCGCCAGAACGAGGATCCTCCACAGAACGCTTGGTTGTGCTTCCAAGCTGGACGAAGACCCTTGTCTTTTGAAGTCTTTTTAAAAGATGCATGTCTTCAGGTCCAGAACATGTCAATCCCAGCTGAACTTTTCATTGCTAAGGTGTGCTGAATACGTCGCCCCAGAATTTCCTCGGTACCGTGACCGGCGTAGCGGTCCGCTTCTGAGCCATCTCGAGCTCGGTCCAGCCATCTCGACTGTTCAGTCTCTCAGGTGCCAGAGTCTGCCGCGGTGCGTTCCCGAAGTCGGACGTCCAGCAAGGCTAGCGGAGGTTCTGGCAGAGGCAAGGGCTGAGCTATTCAAAGAGCTGCAGAAGATGTTGGGCCATGATGGCCCCACTGTGATGACATATCTAATTCGCGGGTTGGCTGTACAGTACCAGCGCAACGCGGTAACGACTGATGCGTCTAGTCTCGCAAACTGTTTATGTCAGAAGGATCTTTCATGTCGGCATGCAAGGTGTGAGCTGAGCGTAGGTGCTCCTCACGGTGTGAAATGCGATGCCGAATGCTGTCGTGAGTCTGCCAAGCAGACCTCAGCCCAAGGCATGCTGCATGCGGAGAGGTCATCTTCAGATCAGCGTGTGTCATTAAAAGCATCCCGGCCGCCTCGGTCACAGATGCCAACAGGAGTCCTCGACCGCACCCACTTCTTGCAAAGTCGAAGCATGTCGAAAGCACTTAGATTTCTCGCTTGCTTGGCATTTGCACGATGAGAGTGAGAGAGAGCGAAACGGGGAGGCAGGGAGAGAGACAGGGAGAGCATTTAGATCAAGGTGGTCCCTGGCGTCAGCAAGAGGGGGGGGGCGATGGGTTTGTAACTTAACGTGACCGAGCCCTGACGTCGCAACACCCATTCCACAGGCATTTTTGTCGGGGACATTCCCTGCTTAATAAAAGGACACGAGATGAGGTGTGTGGGGTTCTATATGTATACTTTCAGGTCATTTCACAAATAGACAGGGGTCACACCACCAGGTGGCGGGGCTTGCCCTCTGGGGCATGTTGAAAGAAAGAAGCAAACAAAGAGCTTTGCCCAACAGACAGAAGAATGAGAGAGAGAGAGAGAGAAACAGAGAGAGAGAGAGAGAAACAAAAAGACCTCTCTTTTTGGGTTCACGCCAAGGTTCGCTACCTAGTTGTCATTCTGGTTCGTCCGAGAATGGTTTCGAACGGCATGTCAACGTCGATAGTAGCCTCAACCATAATTCGACTACCCAAGCCTGAGGGGAATAACCCCCCTTCCCACAGCTGGAATCGCCAATACTTTGACCCCATTTTGCCCTCATTTGTCCTAATTTGTAACTTGTCCTATTTTGTCCTAATTTGTCTTTCCGAATTGCAGTTGCTGAGGGAAGCAGCACTTCACTGGAACACCCGGTGCCGAGGGCATCAGTTTGCAACTTGCTCACCCCCCAACAGTCGGGGGCGCTGACGCGCGCGATGTAGAGGGAAACCTCTGCATCATGACCCTGGCGAAAGAAAGAAACAAAAAGACAGACTCAGTTTCTTCGGCGCGCTCCAGGCCTACTAGACCAGTGCGCGCTTGCAAGCGGAGGGGCAGCGACGCGGCTTCTTGTGGCTGTGTGGAAGAAGAGACAGACGACGCAAGCAAGCAAGCAGTTTTGTTGTGCAGGTAGCACACTGCTCCAGGGTTGCATAATTCATCACCGCCAGCAGAGATTGCAATCAAGTTCGGGGTGCAGGCAAGCTTCACTGACGGACAGCACTGCTCTGTGTGTGTGTGTGTCCGCCAGCACGCCCTTTATTAATGAAAGTTCTACAGGGTCGGGCCAATCCGCCTGCTGCCATGGAGATGCCGAGACGAGCCATGACTGGTCTTCGCGCTGAAAGTTGTGTGCATCGGTTGCATGCGACGCGTTCGAGACTGGCCACCTGTCCGACTCTGGCATGACCACGTGTCTACGAACCCTGCGATTCGGCAACTGCTTGCTGAAGCTTGCGGTGCGGAATGCGGCAGCAACATCAGCCGTGCAAAGCTTGAGAAGCTCTCTTCCACGAACGGGCAGCCAGGATGCTGGTCTGTGGGACGTTCTGGAATACAACTCCCACTACTTCAATCCACATCGCATGGCACCACTTCTGGCACAGGTTTTGGAGGAGCCACGTCTGACACTCAATACAACAGACTTGACAAGTCAGTGTTGCCACTTGGAGCCTGCAGTATTCAGGCAGCGAGGCCCGCGGTGATGCAAGGCTCCATGCGTATTTGCAGAAGGCCAGACATCAGGTTTCATTTGTGCTGACGTAATGTGTCCCGTGCCATTGGCCCTGTCAAGGCGATAGCATCATGCCAGCTGTATCACAATTTGCAGCTGATCACCTGCAAGGCGCCGCACGTTTAGAACGTAAAGCAGGAGTGTGAAGATGGAACATGATGGAACTACCCTTCAGACCACGACCATGGAAGTTCTAGCAGGTGTCTAGCGCTCCAACATGAAAACGAGGTGCCGAAGTCTGAAGTACTGGAAGATCAAAAGCTGCCCTGCTAAGCTCCGATTTTCTGAAGCGCTTGGTACAACTCCTCGGCTGGAAAGCGCGGTGCTTTCGCAGACCCAAGCGGCTTGGGCTCAGAAGCCCAGATCTCAAGAGAGCAAAGAGTTCTGATCGGCAGGAGACGGCCGCCGCCATCACCTTCTGCAGACAGGCATCGCCTCTCGAGCTTTCAAGGGCGCTCTCGCGCAAAAGTACGCTAGTCCGAGTCCCTCATAGACTGGAAGTAATCCTTCGAAAAAGGCAGATAGAGCATGATAGATCCTAGAGCGGAGAATGTGGCATGTCAATGTGAACCCAGGTGGGACACCCTGCAGCAGAGGAGCTGTCGGACGTGATAGTGGCGACTGTCTCCGAAGAGCTTTCGAGGTGCACAGTCAAGGACACCTTGCAGTCGTTTCCAGTTGCGTGACGTGAATGTCAACGGACATGTTTCGGCCTGCAGTAAGTAAGCCTTGGTCCATGGTTGTCCAACTTGGGACCTCTAGATGCTTGCTTGGCCGTCAACACTGTCAGGCTCGATATGCGGCGAGTGTCCTTCTACATTACCGCCTTTGCCAAGTACAACATTGAGGAGTTGGAGTCTCTGAGACTGGCAGCTTGACCTCTTCTGCAAGCAGGACAGTCGGTTCTGGAAGTCAGCAGCGCGAGTTGTTGCAAACACCTCGGAGCCGATGTCTCAACAGGCTCGGAGAATGGATACCTGAGCATGAGCCCTGCTTGAGCTTCATAGGTGCTGGTCAGCTTGATGGACGCATTCCGCAAGAGCGGAGTGAAGCAAGAGAGACCCTACCAGGCATGGCAGTCATGTAGACACAACTTTGGAGCTTGCGTGTCTCTGCTTCGTACAAGTTGTACATGTCCGTGGTGTTTTCTCGCCAGCAAGCTCTCCTGCTGTAGAGAACTTGCATGGAAATTTAGTCGCGCATTAACACAACAAACAAAACACTTCTGGCGCCAGCGCTCATCAAACAGCAAGGCAAGCGTGAATACACCAGATTTGCAGAATCCCCTGTAGAACGAGTCACCTGACTAAAGCCTTCAAGTAAGCGGAGTAGCTGCCGATATGGAGGGTCGTGCCTCTGATGATGGGAGCAGCTCAGAAGGCTTCAAGGCTGGAGAAGCTCCAGGCTGATGCTTGTAGCCTTGTAGCCTGATGGCAAGTCTGCAGGCTGACACGGAAAGTCTCGAAGAACCTCCTTGTGGCAGTTTGGTGGTTTTGGTTGGCCTCCGACAAGTCGAGTTGAATGGCCTTGTCGGAACAGTGGAGGAAGGTGGCCCAGAAGGCCGAGTCGCAGTGCGACTCGGTTCTGGCCAAAACCTGGCCGTGCCCTGGTGGCCCTGGTTCATGGGATGCCATGGGCATGAAAAGCCGCATGTCGATGAACTGTGCCGAGGTGCGCCCTGGCAACCTGCGGCTAGCCGAAGTCGATGCCTTCGACGCCGATCTCAACGACGACTCGCCTGCTGCGCTTTCGGAGGATGCGGGCCTGCGTGCAAGGAAGACAGGTGCAACCTCACGTAACGGCGCCTAGGTATAGACGTCGTCGACTTCGACCCCTTAGTGACACACCGTGTAGGAAAGGCTGCCAAAACCCCTTCACATATAGCGCCTGCAGGTGCCTGCCATTGTACACGATCGTCGTTCGATCCGCTGAACCAGTACGGGGGCAGATCGAACTCTGAGGCCACCTTCGAAGAGGAATATGCTCGGGCCAACAAAGACTTGGACGAGGAGCCAGCCAATCTGCAGCAGAGAAAGACCTGGTTAAGTTTGATATTCCTGGTTTTGATCGTGGGCCCAGCAATGGCAACCTTTTTCATAACTGCAAAAGATTGGGCAGACCCACTGGTCCGCGTCGTGCCACCTGGAGACTCCAAGCAAGTGCAGGACATCTTTTTTGGGGGCAACGCTTGGTTAGTCTCCTGCGTTACATCGAAGACAGCAGCTGCCAAAGCTCCTTCAGTTTTACAGGGCGCTGCCGAGTTGCTCCGGCCCCGAGGCGTGCGTGTTGCGCGTGTTCACTGTTGGGAGCCCCTGGAGACCAAGAAAGGTCTTCGAAGCCTGGCACAGAGGTTTGGATTTCGGGATAAGCCACCCGTGGTAATGGCCACCAGGGGCCAAGGCTCGCCAACTCTCTTAGCTGCGACGGGACTGCGAGCAGAAGCATTGGCCGCGAAAGTCCTGGCAGCTGTCATACCAGAGGAGTCTGCCACTCTCAAGGCTTACACGGTTCGTGAGGGGTCGCCGCTTGTTCGCAAGAAGGGCAAGGGGTGCTTACTCAAGAATTGCAACCTTGTGTGCACCCAGTCTAGTGCCGCCAAGACTTGATATCCACACAAAGGCACACTCAGTGAAGGCATCGTTGAGCACAGAGGAGAGGGAGCATAAACTTTGGTGCGACGCACCACATGGAGGGCCCAAGCCTTTATGGAACAGACTTCGGCATACCAGACGTATGGAGAACGCGCCATAATTCTGCGGACGTACAGGCCTACATGCAACTGTGCTTGTTCACCGAGCCTCAGCATCGGAGTACGACAGCTACATTTTATGAGAAAGTCGTAGTTGATTTTGCACGACAGATTCGTGATAGTCGCTGCGAAAGATGGTCCTTCTACTTCTACTTCTACTACTACTTCTTCTTCTACTACTACTGCTCCCACAACTACAACTACAACTACGATACTGCTGATACTGCTGCTGCTACTACTGCTACTACTCCTGCTGCTACTGCTACTGCCACTGCCACTACGACCACGACTACTACTACTACTACTACTACTACTACTACTACTACTACTACTACTACTACTACTACTACTACTACTACTCACACCCTACCAACTGCACTTGCTCCATCCGGGCTGGGCAATGGGAGCTTCTTGGCTCCCAAACTGCGACAGTTGCAAACGGTGTGGGGCTCAGGCTCCCTATCTGTGACAGCTGCAGAAGTTGCAGAGGCTCACTTTGCTTACTAGTCGCAGCAGGTGAAGTTGCAAAGGCTCAGGCCCCAAAACTGCGACAGCAGCTGAAGTTGCAAACTCGACGGAGAAGAAACTGGTAAACCAGATCGGATAGTACGAACACGCTGTAAATAACGTGCAAAACTGCCAAGAATGTCTTTACACTCCTGCAACCTGAAACGCAACATCTTCTAAACCTCAAAAGCAAAGATGCCAGCTGTATGTGGGAGGGGTTCGCCTACACTCAAGCCCAGACCTCGGCGTAGGAAGGTTGGCTTTTGAAGTGGTGCGGTGGGGTGTGTGCGCGTTTGGGTGTGGAAATGTTGTTCGGGACACTGTCGTGATCATCCCCGAAACAAACGTCCCCCCCACCCAATTTCGAGTTTTTGCTGAAAGCCCTCCGAAATCCCAACGTCAAGGGTGTCTGCGTGGCAATGTCGTCATCATCCCCCCCCCTCCCCGCCACCCCACCCAAAAAGCATGTCCACAATCCGAAGCTCGAGTTTGCAAACTCGACAAGTTGGTTTCCTACATGACGAAAGTGCTGTAAACACCGAGTAAAATGGATGTTGTCTTAACATGCTCAAGAGCAAGTGTAGTTGGTGGGGGGAATTACTGCTACTACTACTCCTCCTCCTCCGCCTACTACTGCTACTACTACTACTACTACCACTACAGCTATTGACTACTACTGACTACTGCGATTACCACTAGTACTACTTTCCCTATCACTGTCACCCCTACTTTCACAAAAACCAATACTATTGCTCTTCCTGCTGTTACGAGTGCTATTATCATCGATCATGTTACTATGTCGTGCGAAAGACGGCGAAAGTCCCGCGAAAGGATGGCAAAACTCCGTGCAGAAGCCAAGTCCAGATGAAGAAATAGTTATCATAACACTCATGTGCAGTTGTTATAGCCGGGACGCGGTGTGAAGACAATCTGGGAGACTGTTCCAAGCCTTGCACTTTTCGTCTGAGGCAAGGGAGGTCGGGAAATCGAGTGGAGCGAGTCGGCAAGCGCCCGGCCGAGCAGACGGAGGCTGTTGCAGGGAATAGCTCGTAGTGCTTCGGATCACAAGCGATCTGCAAAAGGAGGCCACAAAAGACGATGCAGAGGCCTCCAGAAATTGAATCACGTTGCTAAGCGGAACCGGATTCGCGTTGCGCCACTTTGCTGTCGCTGCGCGGAGGCTCCTCCTGGACATGTGGATGAAGAAGAGGAAGTCAACCTGGACCTGGATTGAGTGCAGACAAAGACCCTAAACGGCTCCGGTGACAAAAGGCATGCACGGCTTGCTGTTGAGGATACTGGGTTGGGGCCTCTCTCAGCTACCGGCAAGCCTTGGCGAACTCTCGAAGTTGTGTTTTAGCACAGGCACTTGCCCGTCGGGCGCAGCAGGCTGCTAGCAGCTTTGAGCCGGAGCCAGGCACTAAGAATCTGTGCTTCCAGGGTTGAGGGTCGGACGATGGGGCATAAAGTAGACAGGCTGATCCCACCAATCCTGGCTACGATCTGCCGAGTACCTTTGCCGATGGAGGCCAGCCTGCTGCAAAAGCGCGAAACACCACGGGAAGATGCTCGATGCATACGAAATGTCGAGTGGAATAGATTTGCTGCAGCGGAGACGCAACCAAGACGAATTTGCAGTCTCTGTGCTCGTTAAGCCTCAAGTTCAGGACAGAGAAGAGGCAGTGCGGGTCCTTCTTACTCAGTGGCTTCTGCGGCTGCGAAAGGAGAAGGCAGATGATGATTAATGCAGCTGCCTTGATTCGGGATGTTTTGTAAATGAACGAAGACGGCATCACTGGGAGAGAAGACTTTGGATGCAAATGCGTGTAGTGGCACATGGGAGCCGATGCTCGCAAGGAGAATCCCACAGGTGCCATATCTGTGCAGCAGATCTTGAGTTTGGCTGTGCCGGGCTCCAATCGCTGCAATCTTGAGCCCACGCACCGCCGCCATGACTCTCCGGCGGCTGAGAGGTCTCTTGGCCTGAATCCGGAGCTGGTGAACACGGCGGTATTCGCCAGGGACGCAAAGCGCTCAGATGCACTAGCTTGTTCATGACACTATGCACTTCACGTGCCTAGTAGCTCAGAGCATTTTGTCAGGTGGCTGCTTATCTCAGCAACCGCCTTGATCTTCTCAGAACTGAAGAGCTGATCGTGTTCCTTTGGGCCTGGTGCTCATAAGCCAATAAATAACTATCTCTGCGAGGGGGATCGCATCAAAGCTGCAGGCTTTCCGGAGGCTGGTGCTTTCACAGAGCTCCACTGCATTCCTCTCAAAAGGCCTACACAAGGCAAGGCCCTGTCGTAAGATTTCGCGCGCCATCATTGATTGCGCCGTGCCAGGTTCATCAGCAATGGCGACTTTTGGTGGCATCGGCGGAACTGAGCGTGTCCGTATCTTAACGGAATGACATTCTGAACCCGCGAGGACGTTGTTGAAGTTGCCGGTGGCTTTTGTGTGCGCGCTGCATTCATCGGAGTGGGGGGGATGACCTGGTTCACAGCATTTCCTCAATCTAGAGACTGTGCTGAGACCAGGCAGCGCCTGGTCCAACTTTCCGATGTTCTGAGCTGTGTGAAAGCAGAGGCGCCGGGCTCGGGCTGCATTGGGGGTTCCTTTTGATTCAGTACTGTTTTCGTTGAGTCTGGTCGAGGCCAAGAGCCGGGCACCGTATTGGACCGACAAGCTGGAAGAGCTGCAAGAGCTAGTCATTCAGGACTTCCGAATGACCTCACATTTTGGCTGTGGTTTTGCAGAGAGCGTTGGCAGGACTTGACCGAATCGGTCCAGTACTGCCAGCCAGCCGTTTAGCATCTGACGGACGTCCTAGCTACTGATCCCGCCCTGTGCGATGCGGGCCTCTCACCGACAGGCCTGAAGTTCTGGCTGAGATCTTGGAGATGTGGGCTGGGACTCAGGCACTTGAGAGGGTTCAGAAGTTGCCGCCGTTCTTACACATGTGCCACATTCGCTTGGCGAGGAGTTCTGGCAGAGCCACGGCGACTTCGCTCAGGCGATCACGAAGAGAATGGAGGCGGCATGCGAGCTCGCGATGTAAGCTCGCTAGTTCATGATATGTAGTACAGGTCGTTGATCATTTAATGGCATTGATACTAGAGAAGTTATAGATTCTATATCGAGTTCATGAATGTCAAATTCAGGAATAAAAAGAACAAGATCAAGTTGGAGATGCCTTGGAGATTGCAAGTGCCTGTAAGGAGCTGCTACTTGAATGCATCGACCTTCAAGAGGTTGTCGGTTTGCTGCAGGACAGGACACTCCCGTGGGAGGGTGAAGAGATGGTAAGACTACGGCCTAGGCCAAAGGGTCCTGGTGCTTTATAAACGTTGCACCAGGCTGCGCTGGCAGCCCCTGGCTTGATCTCCACCTTGCCGGTCAGCGGGGTGAAGGTCGCAACTTGAAGCATGAGTTCGGTGCGCTGCCTGTGTCTGAGTTCGAGGCTTTGCAAGCAGCGGTCCTGACCCGAAATGATGAAGATGTGGAGCGGGCAGAAAGCCCAGAATCCAGCATCACACGTTGTGACGGCAAAACCCAGGCATCCAGATAGGGGATGCAGCAGCAATCCGCGGCATGGAGAGGTGCAGGCCATCTTCGCTGGCAGCACATGGGAGGTGCTATGTCAAGGACATTTTGCCAATGCTAGGGTTGAGCATAGAGGGCAACGTCAAAAGTTGATGCCAGGAGCTCCAGCAAGAGAAATGTCTGGTGCCAGCACAGCCGACAACTCTTCCACAGCTGAGGCCAGTTCTGCCAAACAGCGTTGCGTTTTTCGCGCCTGTCCTTCCCGCTTCCCCTTCGCAGGACAAGGCCTCAAAGTTTCAGGCCCTTCTCAGCGCATGGCAGCAGCCAAGGCCAGCTGAACGTCGTCCTAAGCACTCACCGGAACACGGAGCTGAACAGCGCAGCATAGCGCAGCTAAGGACTGATCTCGAGCTGGTCCAATTTCTTCGGGATGTGCTCATCTGAGTAGGGAATATCAGGGGGTCCGTTTCGGAAAGGAAGCACGATTGATGAGGCTACCACGCTTTGCAACGAGCCTGTAGAGGTTCTTCAAGCCTTGGAGGTATGGTGACTGCAGATGTGACTGGCCCAGCTCATTTGATTCCTCTGTTATGCGAGCTGGTGGAGGCAGCAGCCCCATTTGCTGAACGTCTGGCCGCCGGTGCCACTGCAGAGGCCCGTCTGGGATGCGACCGACCAACTTTGGATGTCTCGATAAGACTGGCCATTAGCCGCCCCGACTCGAACATGGTCTGATCGTATTTTGCAGGTGCTCCAACTACTGGAGAAGCTTTGCCAAAGTATTGCACAAGCAGCACCAGACTTGACAGCTGATCAGCTGGCGTGCCTCCGAGTATGTTCAGATGCTATTTTGTCGGTGGACATGCCCTTGGTCTCCAGGGTGGCGCATTGCAAGCGTGTGCCGCCGTGCACTTAGCACTGGACTAGATTCCATAGGCTCCACATTGCCAGATGTGGCCAGCTTAGCCTCGCACGTCCTGTGACAAGAACGGAATCCAGGTTGCCGGCTTGCCTCATGCTCCACTCTTCTCTGCTGCTTTGGATTGCATGACTGAAACTAGCGTGCGCACCCAAGTTGGCATTGAAACCACCCAGACAGAGCCAAGCCCAAACCGCATGTGCGTTAGTTTGCTGGCAAGGCCACACGCGCTGTGGAGGCAGTGTTTGTGCATCAGTACTTCCTTGGTTGTGGTTCATGATGGCACTGCAATGCACTGCAGCAGAGGTGCTAGAGTCCTTCGCTAAACTTCGTTTGGCACTCCCGGAGCTACTTGGCTTTGCCCAGTGCCGCCAGCAGTCTCGACCTTGCAAAGCACGGAAGAGGCTTTTACCATGGCTGCGGATGCTCCTTGAGGAGGACATTCTGCAGCTTTTCCAGCTCGACCTACTGTCAGTATTCAGCTGTCACGCCAATTCAAAGAGAGGTAAGTGATAATTTGGAGCAGATGGCACATGGAGAAGAGAAGCCAATTTAGTTTGTCAGTTGCCGCCTTGATGAGTGATCTGCCTGAGATGTCAGGGAGCAGAGCGCCAACTTTCAGCCAATGGCTTAGCACGCCTTCTGGCAGCTGCCGCCAGACTGGGCATCGTTGAGGCCACGAAAACTCCGTAGTCCCGAGTTTTGCCACGTGACTTATGGAGACTTCCTTGCAGGCTTCAGGAGTTGACCACATCCTCAAAAGGCTTCACCGTCGCAGCCAACGGATTTTATGTTCGAGGTCGAGAGCACTCCTTAGACGGAAGGTTGCTGACGGTGGCTTCGCCCATTCGTCCAATGTCACCAGAGACCCTCGCTGCTGTTTGCTTGGGGCTGACCTTGACGAGCCGGACACTTACACGGACATACTCTGCGTGAACATGAGTCGCAATGTGACAAAGCGTCCATTTCAGACTGGACACCCCGAGCTGGGCAATCTGACCTCTGGGAGGCATGAGAGATCAGTGGAGTGTAATTTCGAGCTTTTCCACTTTGCGGCTTGTGCAACAGTGCGCATTGGAGGTGGCCCGGTGGCTTCGAAGCATCAAGCGAGCCAAGGAGTCGCAAGCCCCGCAACACGCGACAGTGTTGCGAAACTTTGTGTGCAATGCTCAGCCAAGCCAGAGCAGGGTGTGGAAAGAAGTGGGTGGCCAAGTAGCTCTCGAAAAACCTCTAGCATCTTCAGGCTGCGGCTTCTGATGTCGCCGTCTTCACGAGAAGCAGCTAGTGAGCTATCTCCGGAGCTTCAAGAAGTCATGGTGAGTTACCGAGTGCTGGTGAAGTGATTCGCGACACATGATGAGATGGCTCTTTTTCGACGTGCATCAGGTGGATGTGGTTTGTTCAGCTTCCGCTCAACGACGAGTTGTTTCTGACACGACCCTGAAATTCCGCCACGAGGCCTGTTCACCGCCTACAGCGTACAAGCTTGCAATGAGATGTCGGTGTGACATTCGGAGATGGAAATAGCAAGCTTTCTGATGTCATGGCGCGGTGTTCTGTATGGCACCGGTCCTGGGCCGAAGGCTGCGGAGGTTCTGAGGACCGCTGGCCAGCGGTGGCCTGAGATACGGCTTCCACATGCACAAGGCTCCTGATGTGCACACGAGGCCGTATGACCTGGACATCGGTCAGCATCTCAGGCTCACATGCAGACAGATAGGCACGCAGACAGACAGACAGACAGACAGACGAACATACACATTGACATACATGCATGCATAGGTACGTACACACACACGCATACCCCACATCTACATATCGCATACGCTGTTGCATTACACTCTGTCTCGTTCTGGAAATGTTCTGCAGAGAAACACTACCCTACATTGCAACTAACGACACTGCATGTACAACGTGCAAAGGAGCCCTTCACTTTTTTCTGTGAGTTCTGCATTCGTGGCTCTTCCACCGAAGCAGACTTCCTCCCGAGGCTTGGGTCCTGCGTTTATTGACCTGGCCTGGTGCCCGAGTGGGATTTTCCGGCAAATGGTTCGGATGCAAGAACTCTCCAGATCATTAAGGCACTTCCGGGGCACGACGGTGCATTTTGGCTACTCGATGGGCCCGAGGCACACTCAGCGGCCGGCAGTGACGAGTCACTTGTAGTTCCTTAGCCGTTCGAAGGCCTTCAAGAGGCCTTTTCAACATGGAAAGGCAGCACTGAACTTGGCTTAAGCCTCAGACACCGGCTGCTTTCGCAACTTGTTCACAGAGCTTCAGTTTCAAGACAATGAACATGGCTGGTGGTTTGTGTGGGACCTACCCCTGAGTCGGCCCTCGAAATCGCTTCCGATGTCTGGTTAACTAAGTTGATCTTCGCACTCGTCTCGATTTGACCGCTTAGGCAGCGGCAGAACAAAGTCCTCAGTTTGCTTGAAATTACAAGATGTATCCAGACACCGCAAGAAAGTTTCAAGACCTGCCAGTTCTGTCTGAGGCTGTCTGTTGCAAATCGGCCTACCGAAGACTGAACCCTGAAGAAGCACAAGCCCCATATAGACCCAAGAAGCCGACAGAGTGTGGCTTCCCTTGAACCAGAAAGAGGAGGGTCGATGAATCCGGAAATTTAAAGAAATGAGCCTGAAGCTGCAGGAAGAGAGCATCCGCGCGCACCCTTACAATTAAACACTTTGTCTACCAAGAATCAGCAGCAGACCCTTAATCTTCGGCTCAAAGGGATTGACAATCCCCACCTCGTTCGAGCGATAGGAAGTCTGCCACGGAGGTGATGCTTGGCAGAACCCGAATCCAAATTACAATGGGCCAGCAGACCCGAAACATGGAGAGGAGTCGTAAACGGAAAACCCGCCAAAGGAGTCGCAGACCATTCTGCACGATGCGGCAACGCCTCGAGCCTGAAACAAGGAGTCCTGGCTGGAGGCGAAATCCCTCAACCCTAAGCAGAGTAGTAAGGGTAGTAATCGCTAAAACCAGCAGCAGCTGCGAAACAATAAGCAAGTGTTGCAAGGAGATGGCAAATCATAATGCCAAACCTCAAGAGGCGAAAGGAATAACCAAACACAACCAAACGTAAAGCATGGACCATCAACCCTCAGGAGTGACAAATCCGAAACGCTCAGAGCAGTAGGCCCGAAGCCTCAAAAAGGGCACAAATTGAATTGAAGAGTGCTGTGCTCAGAAACTGACGTTTCGCTTGGCGTGGGCCACGAATAATGTAAGGTCAGGTTTGCAGCAGAGTGCAGACCCGTTTAAACCATATGCTGGAAACGTTTCCCGACTCGACAAACCGTGCTGGCACCAAGCAAGAGACAACATCATTGACGTTGATGATGAAATCCAACATCCAGCCAGTCCGCGGGCAGCTGTTGCAACAGGGTCAGAATCTAGTTTGGATGCTACTGAGTTCCCCCTCACTGAAGCCAGGTCCCGGCAGAGGTATTTCGCTCGGAGATGCTCCTGGCTTTTCTGGATCCAAGTCCGAAGCTCGTAACACCCTTTAGCATATACGATTCGAGTGGCATGCTGATCTCTGTCTGCTCCAGGCGCTCTGTCGGAAATGGAGCTTTGTCTGCATCACTAGACTCAGCGCTCTCAGCTTGAGCACATGGTAGCGCTTTGGGACGTTTTGCCAGGAGGCAGCGCTCAAGTCTTGGTCCAGGCTGGACGTTGCAATGCAAACTCCCTTTACTGTGGCTGTATCTTCACTGCCACTGCCGAGGAAGCAATCCTTTGTGACTTTTGTCTCCTTTCACTGCAGAAGCAATCGTAAACCTTTCAAGGAGATGATCGGGTCGCCAGTGGTGCCCCAAACCAGACCACGAGAAGTTGTGCTCTTGCGGAAGGAATGGAAGGGCCAGAATGGCCAGTCCCAAAAATGATTCAAGCAGAAAGGGTATAGGAGTTTAAGGTCGTAAAGGAAGGTGTTAGGATGCCGAGCCTAGCAGGAGATGATGGAGTCACGAGAACAGAGCCCTAGCCGAAAACAAACTCGGTCGTGAGCGGGGAGCCCAACCCCCCAAAAGCCGATGATGGAGTGTTCGAAGTTAAGCGCTACGGCCCTAGAAGAGTATGATGGGGAATGAGCCCAAGAGCAGAAGAAATAGTGGCGAGCTCAGAACAATGGCAGACAAATGTCGGGCTAGCGAGCCGAAACAACTTTGGGGGCCAAAACCTTAATGTTGGGGTTTAGGGGATTAGGGTTAGCGGTTTGGGGTTTAGGGTCATAGCACTTGGAGCATTTGGTGGTCAAAGCTGTTTGGTGGGTGCTTCGTAGTTTCGATGCGTCATATCTCAAGCAGAGGATGGTTAAACGGAGGGGGTGGGTGAGTGTGAGCCGATTGAAGACTGGCGACTGAGCTATCCACCCGCCCAGTTTTGCGGTGCCGTCTTCGGATGTGCAATGGCTAGCAGTAGAAGTGGACCTTGGGGGATGGCGTCGGCTTGACAGGGCATCACGCAGTCGCATCACGAGGGTCGGCTGTGTAGAGACTTGAGCTGGTGGGTTTCGCCTGAACCTGGTGCCTCCAGTCCATAGCTGCTTTGTGGGACTGGTCCCAAGCATGATTCCTCCGAACAAGGAGGCCCGGACAGCAGGGAGACAAGAACGGGCTGGATTTTGTGACACTCCGCTTAAGTCGAAGACGAGGGTTCGACCCTTCGGCAGGTTTTGGAAACTTCCGAAAACTCCTATCACAGCTGTGCGCCTGAACCCGGGAGAGTTCAGCGCTGCAATGTTGAGTTTCCTTCATTGTGGCTCAGTGATGGTCACTGCATGTTCCATATCCGTGCGACCAGAAGACATGCCAAGTGAAAAATGCAGGAACGGCACTAGGGTGCCACAGTTCGGGCTCCAAGCCGGAGGCTAAGTCTTCAAGGCGCAAGTTGAGAAGTTCCCATTCGGACGGGTTGTGCAAACGAGATGAGGCACACACCAGCAGATTTCCCTGGATAGACCGGCAGGGTGACGCCGTAACCTGAGGAATTCTGAGGACGCTTTCAAGAACGCCTCTAGGCTCTAAGGGGCCATCGCATGTTGAGCCGAGGCACAGGCGAGGCTTGCTCGACTTGATTGGTGCAGCTCCAAGCAGAAACTGCAAAGAAGTGCCTGCGAAGTGTTTCTTCGAGCAAGCGGAAGCCAGGCTGGAGTGGGAGCGGCTTCCCTACGAATCGCGACTAGCCGTCCTGACAAAGCCAGAACCACGGCTGGTCAAAAATCTGTGAAAGCTTTGCGGATATTCTCCGAGTCGTTCAAACTCGCACTGTAGTTTTCACACCGAGCATCAGATCTCCCGAATCGGCGCTCACCGCAGCGATTCTCTCACAGGTGTGGCTGGTGTTGCTTCCCAGCCTTACAACGCCGCACCATCATCCGGTAGAAGTTGCCATGGCCTTCAAGTCTTTGCGGCTGGCACTAGGCACCGTCCGTCGATCCAAACACATTCAGCTGATAGAGACTGGCTGCATTCAAGGCTGCTTCCTGTTGGCCTTGCTGGCACTCGAAACAGGGCTGCACCGAGCATCGAAGTTCTGACCGCTTCTTTTCAAATTCTGCCGGCGGCTTTTCCACGCTATGAGAGTCCTTTGACCTCGATGAGGTAGTTGTGCCACGGACCTTTCGCAAGGCGGCACATGTTGATATGCTTTTGGCTGCTCGTAGTGTGAGGTCTCGTCGCAGAAGCATGATTTGCATGACACTGGTTCCACGTGTGGCTATGGCAGGAGAAAGGCACTTTCCAAGTCCCGTCACGCTTTGCTCCGACCAGAGCTTTAGAGGCCCCGTCGCCTTGCAAGGGTGAATTCTTGAAGGTTGCTGTTCCAGCGTAGGTCCGTGAAACGAGTCCGTGACCGTGAGCTAGTCAACTTTCGAGTCAGGCAAGCGTCGACGAGCAAATCCAAGCAGTGGAGTCGATGATTTCTGATGACAGCGCGGACTTGCGTGTGGCATCGGCAGAAGAGGCCACGCATGTAGTACCCCAAGGCAACGAGAGCTTGCCTTCCAGAACTGTTGTCTCCGACAGCATTTCGGCCGGGTCGGCGGCCACCACCCGACCAGAAAGCGCTGTCTCGGAGGATGGGCAACTCACAACGGCCGTCGAGAGCAAGGAAGATGTTTCTTCACAGACACGGCACACTGACGAAAGCGTGCCGAAGACGGCACTTGAGTTGAACGAACACTTGCTCGACGAGGCGCATTTAAGTGTGCGTTTGAAACTCTTCCACGTGAGCTCCCTAGCTGGTGCGCCGGGGACTATGTCCAGGACAGCCTTCAGCTTTACCAAACCAGCATGACAGTCGTCAAGGACGCGGTCGTCTCACGTCCAAAGGCCAGTTCGGATTCGAAGACCCACTTGTCGAGTAAGGTTTCGAAATCACAGCATGTCGGCTGTTTGCCGGAGCTGCATGCTTGAGTCGAGGCGGTCAGTAACAGCCTCGATGGGTTGGTCGTTCGCTCAGGAGCCGACTGCGCTGAGCAGTCAAAATTTTCCAATTTTGTTTTCGGACGATGTGAATCTCAGGTCATTGCCCCCGACTGTCGCTGCACGTTTATTCTTTCCGGCGCACATCCGCCAGAACGAAGCCCAGTTGGCCTTGGGCCGCAGTGGAAGTTGGAGCTGACCCGCCCGTGCTTCTTTCCAGGCAGATCCTCAATGTCTCCACAACTGCTCCAGCTCGGGACTCGGCAAGACTTTTGGAGAGAGCTGCGGAACAAGCGCCATGACGAATTCTTCAGGACTGCACTTCGTGAACAACAACGGCGGGTGGTGACAGCCATGTTTCGGGTGCAGTTGGTACTTGGAGGGGCAGGGGACTTAGTAAGTATGGTTATAAGTAGACTTATAAGTACCCTAAGTGGACTTACCCCAATTATAACCCTACTTATAACCCTACTTACCAAGTCCCCTGCCCTTCCAAGTAGTCTGTGCTTGTGAAGAAACTGGCACGGAACTGGAATCCCAGTTGGATAAAGCTAGGACACTGATAGGAACTTGAAGCAACTGTAAACGCTTCGCGTCGTCCGCCTCGGCCTTGCCGAGAGTGGTCTTGGCGGTGGGGAATTACAGGTGTGGAATTAACATTTCTATCGAGAGGGACCGGCCGCGAAAGGGGAGGGTCACACAGACTGCAGCACGGATGCGCCAGGATTCGCACGGCTCTTGCGAATGGACCCCTGGCCTTTCCGCATGAGCATGAAGAGCTTTGATTCTGAGGGCACACTGCATGATTGACCCAATTGCTGATCCACGTGTGCCTGCTATGCCGTTCAGCTTCAGTATAGTGTACGAGTAGGTGCTAGGAATTTCAGTACTTGCAATGGCACTACATGGCTCAGCAATGGCATGCCAAAGCATGCATGAGCAGATTCGACAAGTGTCGACTTGATATGTTGCAGGCTGAAGGAGCCTTCCAGAAACTTCAGCTGGCCCGGCAGAAAGTAGTTATGGCAGCACCCATTAAATGACACCTTTTCATGTATTCACGTTGCCTGCATCTGGCCGGCAGGAGCTGTGCAGTACATGGGCTGCATTCTTTGAGTTTGTCCCATGTGTAAGAAAGGATTTGACACTGCAGCTGGCACCAAGCCGAGGTACGATGCATTAAACACGAGTCCCGAATCCAGGTTGGCAGAAGTGAAAACATGGCGCGACCAGCTTGGTAAGCACGCTACATATTGTAGACTCAAGCTGACATTGCGATGCATACACTCCGGCTCAGATGATTGGACCCCAACCTCAACTCTTCTTCATGCTGGCTTAGTATGCTGCGGTGCCCACAACGAAATGACAAGCTACAGTGTGCAAGCAGACTTACTCCATCAATAATTTCGGGACTGGTAGTGTTCTTGTGTCATCAGCCTCCGCATGTCTTTAGTCCATCCTCGTCGACATGGAGATTGGTGTACGAGCTCCTGTTCAGAACTCCGTTCGAAGCCGTGAGCCCCTGCGCGATCCGAGGAGGATTGCGCGGAGTGCTTTGGGCAGCCCATTTGGAAATGAAGCATGCGAAGTATGCAGAGTCTCCTCGTGGTTCTTGCCAGTTGCGTTCGGCTATTGCGGTTTCAGGCACAAAGCTGGAAGAGTGTCTTTACGGGCACTTGCCATGAAAAACAGAAGTCTCGTCAAGAGGGGCAAAATACTGCCTGCGCAGCCGGTGCCAGATGGGATCGTAGCACCTCCTTATGTTGCTGATCCAGACCAAGTACGTGGCTGGTGGAACTCCCGAATTGAAACAAAGACGGATGAAGACATTGAGGCCATGAGGTCTGCTGGACAGCTGGCACATGCGGCCTTGGACTTGGCCGCGGGTCTCATTCGGCCAGGCGTCACTACTGAGCAGATGGACAAGGAACTGCATACCTTTATGTGTGACCATGGAGCTTACCCGAGCGATCTCCAGTACAAAGGCTTCCCGAAAAGTGTCATGATCAGCATCAACGAAGTCTTGGTCTCAGTCGCCTTGTCTTTTTCCAGTTTGTCAGCATGGAGACAGTCCACAGGAGCTTCCCAACTGACTCAGGTGATTTGTCATGGCATTCCCGACTGCCGCCCGCTGGAAGATGGTGATCTGGTAAATGTGGATGTGACGCTCTACAGACATGGCTTCCATGCAGACACTGCGCGCACATGGATGTGCGGTAAGGCAGATCCAGCAGGTTCCCCGTCTTCACCTTTCCAACGTGCAGCTGTAGTCCTGTGCTTCAGCCCTTTCACGGGACAGGCGAGCGTCTTGTGGTGTCAACGCGAGAGGCTTGGGACTTGGGAGTGCGTTTCGCCTGGCAGCACCGCGAGACTGTCTTGTTCGCTCCCGTGGCAGGCGCTGGATGCCGCTGTGGCCGTTTGTGGTCCTGGAGCCCCTTTGAAAGCCATCGGCGATGCAGCCAGCCTTGCTCCGTTTTTTCCTTTTTAACAGTTAGTGCAGCACACGACTCCGGTCCGACAGCTGTGCCTGCCAGGTAGCAAACATTGCTGAACGCGAAGGCTTCGGCATTGTCAAGACCCTGGTTGGCCATGGAATCGGAGAGTTTTTTCATGGAGTTCCACAGGCTCCGGCTGCATGGTCACAATGCTTAGTCATTCGATAGTGGGCAGACTGGCATCCGAGAGTAGGTGCCATTGATGCAGCAGTAGCCTTCTTTGTCGGAAGTGCCTGTTGCCTGTTGCTTTGGCAGATCTTCCATTGCCGCAACAGCGACAATCGAAAGATGCAGGCGACTTTGGATGCAGGGTTCCTTTCTTCTGGGGCTGTGGTCAGGAAGACAGTTGTATGGGTTTGATGGAGTTGTGTAAAAGTTGGGCACGGCAAAGGGGCCAATAGTAAGAAGCTTATGACTATGATACACATCGCAAAACCCGAAAGACGTCACCCTGAAATGTCTTATGTTCATAAGCGCTGCTTTGATGCATGTGCATCGCTGGTGTCCTGCAGGAAGGCACCACCTTCACCATCGAACCGGTTCTGACAGAAGGCTGCAGGAAAAAGTTCCAGAAACCGAACCTGGGGCGTAGCTGCGGCTCGCGCCCTTTGGAAGGCGAACCAGAGTGGTTTACGTGGGAAGACGGATGGACCGTCGCGACAACGGACGGAGGCCGTGCAGCCCAGCCCAAGCCTCAGAGGGTTCTGTGCGAGTTGCACCTCAATCGTTGTCAGTCACAAGGTTCGAGCACACAATCCTAATCACAGCCGAAGGCTGCGAGGTGCGCTCAAATTCACACAATACATGTAGCCGCAGTTGCATTGCGCGTTGTGTGTTCAGATTCGGTGCAGGTTCTTACGTGACGTTGAACGACACCGGCTCAGACCACGCCATTCGCGAATGTGAAATATTGACTGCTCAGATCACTACTGATGAGACCTGATATTGAGCTGCCATGATTTGCCACGATCAACTCCTTGGACAGACCTAATGGCATTGGAGCACATTGTCATCCATCAGGATTCCCACCTGCCATCTCTACGTGCGTACGCCGCTACACCTTGAGTCAGGTTTTCCAGAGTTGTGCTCTTGAGGTCAGGTTACAGGACGCGGAGCAAGCTGGCAACAAATTAGGCATTATTTGGACGAGTTATGGGTCAGAGTTGCCTCTGGAAGCCAAACACGGAGTTGCGAACCAGGTTCTCAATTCCGAGAAGGCTTGTAGAGGGTGCTATGTTGACACTTTCGCATTGTCTCCAGACTTGCAGAGAGTTTGCAACGACAAGCCTTTAACGGCATGAGCACACACATCCTCACAGGATTTCTATCTAGCCTGGCAGTTGCATGCAAGCCATTGCGCCCATCCCTGGACTGCCTGGACCCAGTCCTCGACCAGAAATTCATGCCTGCGGAGAGGGAGAGAGTGAGTGTGTGTGTGTGTGTGTGTGTGTTGCGGGTTGACGGCCCCGCTCAGGGAGCGTCAATTTTCCGAAGCATTCAGTTCTCATCTGTTGATGGAGACGAAGACACCGCCCTGCACGGACACAATGCCGGCTTTTGCAATCCTCATTCAATGTTGCCTTTATGTGCACACGGCACGGAAACAAGCAGGCACAAGCACACGTGTCACAGACTTGCAGAGAGCCTTTGCCGCATGGAGCAGCTCCGGGAGAGACGTCGACGTCCCTCCGCTGCAGTTCGGCTTTTCCTCTTGTTGGGGCTCTTGTCGGCGAATGCGAATCAGTTCGACTGCGACACGCCGACCTGCGCTCGACATAGTAACTGGCTGCCAGCGCCATATCCCAACTCGACAGATATTTGCAATGAGCTCCAGATCAAGGCGCTGCAGAGCTTCGTGTCTGTGGCGCCCCAGCTGTGTCGCGAGTGGGCAGCTAACGGACTGGGAGTCTGGGAAGATTGCCGCAAGTCATATTGTCAGGCCTTGGGAGACCTAGCTTCGAACTTGTCGCATGCAGGCAGCAACCTGTATTACGGAGGTGATGAATGCCGGCCACTCGTAAATTTCAACCAAACACTCTGTGAGACCGTTTATCGCGATGCTGAAGGCTTCTGTGAGTGCTTTTGCCCATCTTTCGGTTTACTACAAGTCCCAAGCGTAGGGGGCTGCGAGTCCAAGATCTACGAATTTCTCTTTCTTGGACGCCGGGGGTTCGAACTCAGCCAGAAGTATGCGCTGAGTGGCTATTGTGCAGGCTTCCTATGTGAGTTCATGAACAAACTGGGGGAGCCTGATCCGCCTTACCCGATAGAGGGCATTCCTGGGAAGTGCAAGAGCTTGGAATTGCCGTGGCGAGTCGAGGGTTGCGTGAACTTAGTTTCAGAACAGCCATACAACCCAGAAGCCTGGAAAACACCATATCCAGAGGATGATGTCATGGAGTGTGTCGACAAGACTACACACGAAGTGGACGTTCGCCACGCTGATACCATGCAAGTTTGCAACACGCATAAATTCAGGTGGCGATGTCCTAACAACGTGCCTGTAATGTGCAAGGATCCTTATTATTGCACAGGGGACCACTGCTGCGTACAAACTGTTGACGAATGTCCATCGGGTGAGCGAGAGGCATCTCCGATGCTTGCTTTGGAGCTGCCAGAGTGGATTGGCCGGTTTCCACCCGACATGATTGAGAGCCTTCGTACTACAACAAGCTTAGACGCTTATTCCCAGTTTCTTGGCAGCTTGGGCACGACATCACGTGCACCAAGTTTCGCCCAACAGATTTCTGATTACGCGTGGGCCGGAAGTGCGATGCTTGTCGTCATTGGACTTACTTGCTCTTGCCTGGCATGTTACTATATGGGACTGATTAACGCCAGCCACGTTCGCAAAGTGGTTCTTGGCCCAGCCCGTCTTCTCAATGCCTACCACGCCGACCCAGTGACTTTTTTTGCATCTGGCAACCTGCCTCGCAACAAGAAGCGCGAAGCACCTCTCCCACCAATGAGACCTGCACACGAGATCGAAGAGGAGCGCAGAGATAATGAAGCTTGCGCAGCACTTGAGGACGCATGGGACATCGCGTCGCTAAAGGGAATGCGACATTTGGTGGGAAGGGCGAACGATCCGGACCCCTTCCAGGCCAAGCTATTGCGCGATGCCATTTCCATAGCCCGATCAAGGGGCCTTCAGGCAGCCTTCGCTGAAAAGCAATGCCAGAAGCAGGTGATTGTAGAGTACCGTTGCCGGCAGGTTCGTGCTGGTGTGGCAGACGTTCTTCAGAAGGGGGAGTGCCTTAGCCACGTTTTCAGTTCGCCAAATGCAGGTGCGACTGAAAATGACGAAAGCTCTAAGTCTGTGAACCGAGGAAATGGCTGAGCACCTTGGAGGCTGGAGTTTGATGTAACAAAGTTTGAGACTGAGACTTCAGGATCACATCTTGCCAGGCCGAAAGAGAACTACTGCGAGCCGTAGAGGACGCTTCAGTGCTCCAAGCAAAAAAGCTCGGAGTTGCATCGAGCTGTCCGAGCAGCAGGAAGCTCGCCCTGATCTCCGATGGGCTGCCCAAGTCAGGCCTGAAAATTGTGGATAACTTTGGAAGGTCTCCATCTCCATCCGATTAAAGACCGTCTGCCAGTCTCATCTTGTCCTGGAGTCCTGGAATGACCCCAGAAAGAAACTGAAACGAATCTGCATCTCTGCGTTGCATGTGTGCTTTCATTTATGCTGCATCTTCTTGTGCTGGCCGCTGTTGAAAGGTTGACCGAGGCACCTGTCGTGGGCAAGCTGGAAACTCGGAGCGCAACCGAGATGTAGGCGGTGTGGAATGTGGCCACCAGTCCAAGGCCGTGGATAGCCACGACTATGTTCAAAATGGCCGAGAGCGAGGTGCACGTGTTGAAGTCGTGGTTCGCACTCGGTACGCCTGTTTGTTGCAACCGTGAAAGCTGGGTGAGCAAGGTGCGAAGCAGCGGATGGAAGCACATTGAAGATCTACGTGCTGCCGTCCAGGCAGGCAAAAGCTTCCGGGAGCTCGCAAGGACTGAGACAAAACGAATGGAGATTGCAGAAGGTTGCAGAGTCTCGGGACATCAGCGAGTCGCACATGAAGGAGGCCCTGCGGAGGCCCTCTTTCGGTTGTGCCAGTGTCTCGCAAGTCAGGCGCAGGCGCTTCTAGCGGCGCTGGTTGCACGCACGCACGAGCTTCCCTCCGATCGATGTGTTCTGGATCCAGACGGCGAAGGTCGGGACATTCATAGCGGAGCAAGTGCTGGAAGCGGAGCACTGCAGGTATCAAGCTGCTGCCAAAGGGCCACCAAAGAGCTGTTTGGCCAGTCACAGGCACCAAGCCTGTCTTCGTCAGCATATAAATAGAATCCAGCTGCAGACATGGCCATTTTTCCGGCAGAGAGAACTAAAAATGAAGTATGAGAGAATCCACAGCTTGCACGGACGGCACATTTGCGGAACTGGTTACGCAATGTAGTTAGTGCCTAGAAGAATACCCTATGGCAATGTCATCATGTGGAAGGTGACACCTACACCTACGAGCAGGGCTCCTCGCAAGGAGGCGACCGCGAGCGGAGCCAAGCCTGCGATGCACGCCGCAACATAGTGCAGATTCAAAATTGAATTTAGCATCGGATCAAAAGACCCTCCAAAGAATAGATAGCCTGCCTAGAATACGATACTGGGGCTTTACTTCTAGCGTCGCAGCTGGGTTCCATTTTGGAAGCTGCCTTTTCGAAGGTGACATGGGTGTGGATATTTTACCTCCGAAAGAAGTCTTGGGCCGGCACCTCAGAGCTGTCAGAGTCTAGGAGGCGTTGTGACGTGGAGGAAAGAAGTTCTTGAAGATGTTCTCTTCTCCTGAGGTGAGGCGCAAGAGTTTTTCGTTCGTTTGCGTTACGTCTCTCGTTTCACAGTGGTGAGGGCACCCTGTGCCGGGCTGTCCTATGGATGCCGAGAAGCGGCTCACTCACCCAACTCGCTTTGCCCGTCCCGGCGGATGTGTGGGCGCCAGCCCTTCCGGGCCCTGGAGGCCGGGGCTGGAAGTTTGTTCTGACGGCATGCACAAACGAAGCGTGACATGCTTCCCAGTCACCTAATCACCGTTCCCGCGTCCTCGACCTGGTGGCGTGTTTTCTCAGGTGCAAAGCCGGAAAACCCATCGTACCAGCTGTGAACATCTTGCTGTTGTGTCTCGAGGAAATGCCAAGAGGATGGACATGCGGGACAGAATACTGTCTCTGGAAAGCACACAACTGACGAAATCACTTGAACATACAAACTCGCAGAAGCCTGGCACGACAAACCACAACACCGAGAATCTCAACACAGCTCACTCGGCTGATGCTGAAAGCTCTGCACTCTGCCGAATGTGTAGAAATTCGACATTGCCCAGTAGAATACAAGGTGATTTGCCATTGCCACACACTCATGTCACAGAGTGCAAACTTCACGAAATAGGAGGCTCCAAGGGTGGTACGCACGTACACGGACGCTAATCGCAATGCTGACGGCGAGTGCAAAGAAGCGCAAACTTTGGCGCAGATTTTAGCCGCCTCGTTAGAGAGGTCATGCTCGCAAAGAGCTTCATCCCTTGAGCAGGCAGAACAAGACGAACGTCATGATTAGTATGTGAGCACGCGAAAAGCAGAGACGCCTGAGGTGATGCTGCTGTCGATGATGCCCGGCCAGTATGTGCAACTGCCCCAAATCTCAAGGTCTGAATGTTTAAGAAGTTTGCTGCCGCCACCGAGGCCGAGTGGGCTAAGTCTTCTCGCTGCAAAGCAGGCCGCGACTGCCCCTGGCGGCACTGCCGGCCGCAGGCGCAATTCGCGAGAACTGCATCGCTTTGCAGCGTGACTCACTGGCAGGCTGGTGACTCCGTGCGTGAGTGCATCCTTTTCGACGTGTAACCGGTTATCTTGACCGAGTTTGCCTACTACACAACGAAGAATAGGCAAATCGATAACAAAGTGACTTTCTGTGAGGACTTGTTTCACGGAGTTCATGAACAATAGGTGAGCCCGTGCAGAGACCTGCACAGTCGCCGTATCTCCGAGTTGAGCTCAGTGAGAAGGCTCGAATTAGTCAGTAGTTCAGTAGGATCAGTGGCACGGGCAGGCTGACCGAAGGTCACCACTCGAGCCGCATAATGTTGCATTGGTGCTCAAACGACACCTGACATTCAGGGTTCTGCATGTACTCCCTGCTTCAGTAATGCGATTTGCTGCATTTTCGATGCGGTCCAAAGTTGCCACTTGCATAGTGACAACCTGCAGAGCAGATCATAGCACCGGGCAGTATTGTGTCATACCGGAAGCCTGGTACAGTAAGCTCTCCAGTGACATGCGGCGGGGTCTCTGACAGACCTGCGATGGCTCGCTGCGCCACAGGCCATGTCCAAGGCCACCTCTTTGACGAAGTAGCCCACACTTGGGGAAAGGCTCGAACCCCGGATGACTCTGGGAAAACCGCGGTGAATGACCAACGTTCAAGGCCACTGTAGGAAACCAGCAGCGCCGTGAAGAAGGAGTTTGGAGATGGCCAAGACAGGTGGAACCAGCCTAAGGATCCAACAGATGCGAAGAGCAACACAGGCGCGATCTCCAGGCCTCAAAGAACAAAGAGACCCAAGGCTACCTCAAAAAAATATCCTCAAAACAAGTAGGCAATAGCAGGCATGGATGTACGAAATCTCTGTGATGAGCTCGCACCCGCAATTTCAACGAGTGTGGGAGTTGTGGAGCTTGAGATGTTGCTGGTGCGCAGCAATATTTATTATGATTTCTGATATTGTACACTCAGACGATCGAGTTGGTGCTTTCTCTCCGAACTGAGCTGATGAAACGCCGAACGTCAATGAAAAACATTCCAACATCAAGGCCCCAGGAGCCTAACCCCGCAGGCCCACAAGCCTGAGCCCATGACGAGCCAAGCCCCATTTGGGAGTCTGCTTTGAAAGGGGCGGAAGCAAGACGCAGAGCGAGAGGGAGAGAGAAAGCATGCCAAGTAGAGACCTGAAAAAGTGACAGCTCCACTGTCGTGCCGGAAAAAGGCGCAGTATGAGGCTCGACAACAGAACAGGAAGCCTGCTCTGGTTTCGACACAGTTTTTCTCAAATTTTGGGGTTTACACAGGTTGCAGCTAAAGAAACTGAAAACGTAAATTGTTTGCGCCACGGTGGCATACAATACCATGTAGCTGTTGAGATCGAAGCCGGTATTGCTTCCAGTAGTTTCAGATGTACACTGTGCAGGCAACATCCTTCTATGTGGACTGCACCCATGCAGCCGGGTCCCTTGTGTCCCAAGCTTGTTTGCTGCAGATCGGGTAGATCTGCGTAGAGTCCCAGAGGTTCGACAAATCCAAGAAAGACTCGCATCGCTGCAGTGCCGTCCAGAATGCATGCATGGCAGGAGTATGTCGACGGTCACGCAGAAGGCTGCGCAAAGGCAGTGGGCCGATTTGTTCTCGAAGCATGCGAGGGGAGTCACTGATGCATATGCTGTTTGTTGACGATGACTGCAGATAAATGACCTCTGGCAAAATCGACGAGCAAGGGCCCAAGCCATGCTTGGAAACAATGGGACTGCTAATGAGTGTCAAACCTCGGCGAGGTGACAGACAAGGGTCCTGAGGCACCAGAGGGGGCTACCTGTTCCAGCCGGCAGTCGTGATTGTGTTTGATGTTTCTGGTAAACTTAGTTTCCCAGTGTATCCATCGACTGTCATGAGTGATGTCTCCCTGCAGCGCGCTCCCTGTCGGGCGCCTGAATACGTCCACGCGGTTGGAACCTCAGTGTACTTGAGGCACAAGATGTGGTTTGACAGCACGAGATGCTATGAGACAGACCTACTCCCAAAGCGACACACTGTCTGAAAATCGCAGGATTGCAGAGTAAGGCACCTGCAACACCTGAAACCGACCGGCTGTTTTGCTTCCTGACCGGCATTCGAAGACTTTGCTGGTCGATGTCTCAGGTTGACACAGGGGAATGGGCAGAATGTTGTCGAAGCCCGCTCATGCATCCAGATGACGAGGAAGGCCGTTCATGCTGCAACCGCTTCTGTAACCAACTGCTTGAAATCCTTCCACGCTTCAAGGTCCCATGGCGAACTTTTGGAAGCTCTTGGCGGCCGTCGGACTTAGATCCTCGTCCTTGTCCGGAGGTCAGCCAAACGCTTCTGGCAGCCCTCTGTTTCAGCCAAGGAAAAGGACACAAAGAGGTCTACATCTGCCAGCCCCTGACGGCATGAGACTTGACAGTCGCGGTCAAAGCGCAGCCACAGGAGTTTTCCGCGCATCGGAGCCTCCGAGGTTTTGCACCACAACTATTCGTACGACATGGCCTCTGGCGTAGGCTGGATCCAGGACCTGCAGCCATCTGCACCCTGCAACGAGTCTGCGGCGATTGCACGTTGCCGCACAATGCGGGAGAACCTGCTGCAAAAGCAATACTCCACAATCCCTGGGGCTGGGAACTGGCCGTCATTGCTTGAACTATCTTGGGGCACACCTTGAGCTATGTTGCTGACTGGCCAATGGAGGGTTTACAGTGACCAGGGAATAGATCCTGAGGCTTCAAACCTTTGATAGCGGTTAGCACGCCAACGTTGGCCCATGCCAGACATGGTGGCCGTCACACTCGGATCCCGTCTGAGGACCCCTGCGGAGACTGTGCGGGGAGTGACGAGGCTAGGCCGTGCAGAGTCGAGTCGAGTGAGAGTTACAAACTCCGTGGTAACAGCGCCGAGATCTGCCTCAAGCCGCGCGTTTTCGACATAAAGTCGTATACTTTTCCGACGAGTATCGGAGATGGGCTGAAGCAGGCACGGATGACGGGTGTATCAGGTTGACTTAGGATCCAATGTCGAAAGATTCAGGCTGCAAGGGCAATTGGCCGCAAAGCTCAGCCCTTATCAACAAAAGCACAATACCTCACCGTGCAGTCCAGCGATGTCTTGTATGGCTTGGGCTACAGCTAAGTTGCTGGGCCTGGACAGAAAAGTGTGCCTGGGCGTGGGCTACAACTGGAGTTTTGGATAAGAGCTCAGTGCCACTTGGGAGGGCAGAGTGCAGAGGTCGGCATAAGAAAGCCTTAACTTGAGGCCGAATTGCACCTGGGATGCTGGACATGATCCGGTCTCTGCCCTGGGGCGACAAGCGGAAGGTGCTGCTGGGCTGGCTTCGACACCTCCAGTTTCAAGCACGGCTGCTTGCGCAGGTTTACTACGTTGACTCTGAAGCTGCTGCCACACTTCCCTTGCAACCCACTGACTTTACAGCGCTCCCCACAGCGTGGAAGCGCAGGGTCCGCAGAATACATCTGCAGAACTTCCTTTGATCATTTGTGCAGAACATGCAAGAGCCTGCGAAATGTGGGAAAAGTGGATGTGTGTGTGTGTGGACCTCTGTTACCAAGAGGAACCGTTTTTGAAACACGTTGGACAGTTGTGCTGAATTACAGAAAATTGCAGGGGGCAGAGGGTCTCATTTCACGGCCTCTGCCAACGAAGCTCCGTGATATTGAGACAGGTAAACGTACCTGCAGTGGTCGGCATGGGCACTTTCGTGCAGCTTGTGACCACACAACTGTTGATTGCGAGTAGGAGTGCAGTGCAGTTTCATGTGCATGTCTGGGAGATTTTGCCTTGTACAGTGGAAAAGTCAGAGATCAAGTGAAGATGAGCCTTGAGGCCAGATAGGTACCGGACCCCCTGGAAGCTTCATGCTTTCGAGATACATCAAGCTGTGCTTGATAACCAGATTGATTAGTGGCTGCGCGATGGATGTCTAAGTGTGTCCCAGGTAGTTACAAGCTGGTCTTGTATTCGTTTACCGCGCTACCTGCGGCGGGGTTAGCCCGTGCGTGTACCTGCCAGGGTGGATCTGATAAAGGCAGGGATACATTGTTTTGGGCCCGTCGTGGTCCTCACAGGTCCGACTGAATTTGCTGCTCCGATGGTGCAGACATCTGATTACTTCAGTCGCGATGTTTTCTCCGCTCCTGACTTAATGTCAGGTTTGATGCCAGGTTTCATTGCAGGTCCTGAATTTTTGCAGATCCGATGGAACCAACGGCTTCTCTATCCGCAGACCACGATTTCAGCTCCGAGACACAAGCCTGTAGCAATCTTTTGCGATCATGTCGTGGACCCGTGAACAAGATTGGGCCAAGTCGTCCTGGGCTAGTTCGTCTTGGGAGAAGAAAGGATCGTCGGGTTGGAACAACCGTGACTGGCAAAAATCCCCTCAACAGTCTGTTCCCAGCACCAATGTTGCCATCCCATCGTCTTTTACCAGTGACTGGGAGTGTTACGACAAGAATGCTATTTCTGGCAAGAAGTTCTTTCGTAACATCCAATCCACGCCCTGGTCTACGAAAGCTGGACTGGCTGGAAAAGATGTCGCCGATCTTCGTGTCTCAGACCTGACGAGAAAAGGTCTTGATGACTTCAGTCTCCGCTGTTTGTCCAATGGAGAATTTCAGAGCTTAGTATTCGTGAGGTCGATTTCAGAAGCAGTGTTTGTGACTAACCTGCTTCGTCACATTCGGCAAGACCGGATTGATCTTGATGCCGTGGCAGCAAATATGCACGGCCCAGCTCCGCCTGACAAGCACAGGGAGTCTGCGAGATTTATGCAACCATTGCTTGGCGAAATTGTTTCAACAATCAAAGCCAATTCGCCTCCTCCGGCGGATTCAAGCCAGCAATCGCCTGAGAGTGAACAGCTTGCTCGTGCGAAGCGAAAGTTGAAGGAAGCTGGGATTGCTCTTACTCCAGAGAAGAAGCAGGCCAAAACTGGCCCAAAGCCCACCGCTTCACCTTCACCGTCAGCTGAGCAGATTTTGAATGCGGAACTCCCGAATCCGCCGAACTCTGTTCCGAGTTCCAGCTCCCCTGATGTTGT